ATTATAGTTTTAACTTATATTTTAAGATAAATATAGAAAAACCCTTAATAATTTGATACACAATCTTAATTCTACCAAGGAAACATCAAAATCCACTGCCTCTGTTGCACATCCCACCAATAAGCCCCATCAAGAGAAAAAGACCAATTGCAAACGAAACACTTCTTCGCGTCTCTTGAATGTCTGTAAGCATCAAAGCTAACACCCTTGTCCTTCCAAAACACGTAACAGTAATAAAGGGTTGTTCCCCAAATGTTGACATTAAACTGGAATTTATACACCTGCCCGTACTCCACTTCCATTACCCCGATATCTTTGTCCCCAGACTTGCAGTGCACCTTCAGTTTCTCACCAGGTTGCATGTCGTTGGCGATGTATACGGTTCGTCTATCGCCGGCGACGACTGCTGCTTCCAGCACTAGGCTCAGCAGCAATATTACTTCCAGGATCAGCATTTTAGCCCTGGACATGGTTGTGGCTTGTTTTGTGGGAATATTGATTTCTTATTTCCTTGCCTACCTCTCTGCCTCCGCTGCATCCATTTTCTTCATTTATAAATGTTTTGTAATAGATTGAAATCACTTCTGTTACATAGCAATTAAGACTGATGTTATGGATTGAAGACAAATGAACAAAGAGAGTTACAGATATAGTTACTAATGAAGAGCAACGGATATGAGACATGAGAGTTACGTCCATAGGTAAGGTACTTGTGTCAAAAACTGGATTACTGGTCAGTCAATCTCAATTAACTTCCATTTCATGCAAGTGTTTCAAAAATACTAGTAGCATCTCCACACTGATTCTATCCCCTGCACTCCTATTAACTATCAGACATTTAAATTTTGGTTCTTTAAATCCTACTCATGTCAGCACCGGCAGCACACTCAATGCAACCTAAAAAGCTCAACAATTCTAAACCTAAAAGACCAAAGAGCACCGTGCCTCATACCAGATTGTCCAAAACCGTAGAATAACCAGTTTATTTCCAATCACTAATATTATAATAGGCAATCCTAAGAGCTTTTCTGACAATATCTTTGTTTGAATCTTCAGAGTCCATTTATTGGATCAAGTGATTAACATAGTCAATATAGAACATCAAATTATGCAAAAGGAAATCCAAAACAGAGATTCCCAAATTTGGTCGACCATATACTAGAGCAAGCACACACTAATTTGCAGGGAGACAAATTGGTGAAGAGATGGAAAATATCATGGGATGCAAGGTAAGCTTGCGGTTGCAACAAATAAACCCATTAGGTGAATATGTAAAACAAACAAAGCTTGGTGGCAATGTAACAAACATAACAAGAGGCCAACTTTATACTAAAATTGATCAGCAAAACCAAGTTGAGATAAGAAGTTACATCCTTATCATACAGCCTTAGAGATTAGACAAGAAGGTCTGCCACTAGAGGAAAAAAGAATGGCAACACTTACAATGAACGCAATAGCTTATGCTTCTTGAATCTTGACGCAAATTATCCAACAGATACTAAAAAGCTTACCTCTTCATCGCATCAAAAGCATTTTGCAAACTTTTCCATCCTCAACTAGCTGATTAATAGCATTCCTGAACTTCTCATAATCCCCCCATTTGTTATACACCTGTTGAGAAATCCCTGCATACCCTGTAATAAACCCATCCTCTTACCCCCACCTCCCCATTCTTCACCTCTTGGTAATAAATGGGAACCTCTATAGCATAACATTGTCACAAATGTGATCTCAACCTCACCGCATCCTCCTCACTGGTAATGCAGAGCCTGGAAGGCAGACCAACCACAATCATCCCCTGCAGACATCTCAGGTAGTGACCCGAGGTTGGTGCCCCAAAACTGCCAACATCTTTCCCATCTTCACCACTTCCTCATGGTTTCCCTTCATAATTCCTTCAATTCCTCCTCAAACCTATTGACAAACTCCAAAGCTGATGGCACCACGAGCTGTGAACTGTAATCCCTCGTTCCAATCCACGCACTTTCAATCGGCAACCCATTGCCGTACTCATGTGAGACCACAGGGTGATGCACATCCGATAACGAAAGATTGTTTCTACAATACAGAAACGAAACAAAAGGTGGGGAAAAGAACCATTTATGCAAATTGCCAATGTAAAAATCAGGTCCAATCTCTTTCACGTCTACTTTAACACTACCAATTGCATGAGCTGCATTCACAAAAACCTGGTCTACTCCCTCCCCTCGGCAAATACGGACTAATTCCTGCACCGGAATCACAACAGACAGCATTCACGTGATATGATCGATAATAGCTAACCTAATTCTTCTACCATTAGGTTTCCCTTTCACTATCGCTTTCCTGAACTCCGCAATGATTGATTCCTCTGAATTCACCCGAAATGGTAACGGAACCTGAACAACTGACCCACCTGCGCGCGTCACGCCCGCCTGAATCGCCTTCTTCACGGCTTGGAACGCGCAGTGAAGCATCAAAACGGCGTCGTTCTTCTGGAACATCCCCTCCGCAAACCAACGGCCAATCGGCTGAGGCACGATACCTGCAGCAGTTGTGGCGTTGTCGACAAGTGAAACCTTATCAACAAGGTCGGCGTCGAGAGGTCTTTAATGACAGTTCGTGACCTAGGATACCGGTTCAGACAGTGTTGAAGTAGAAATCATCTGGCTGCTGTAGAAACCTTTCTCGTCACTGCCTCTGAGCCGCGAGTACAGTACCAGGACAGCTCCCGAAATTCCCATTGTTGATTCGAGCGACGCCGGGGACAGGTGGCGAGAGAACTCCTCTCGTATTTCGGAATCGGATATGAAGAGGGAGGTCACTATGGGCTTCTTCGTGACGCGATGAGTCACCTCGCAATTTCGTATGTGCTCTACCTCCATTGATGACTGAGTCCGTGAGACCGAGTTTGGGTTTGTGGAAGAGAGGGTGCAAAGGCAGGAACTAGGACGATATACAGGCCGTCCACAGTGGCGGGGCGGAGTGGCGGTGGAACGAATTTTGTGGATATCGACGTCTGAAACGACAGCGTTCATTTTCAGATCCGCCGACCGGAGATGAAATCGGAACGTCGTCGCTTAATACGTGAATATTTGGACGAGGACACGTCATAATGCGTGATGTGTACATCTCCTGACCAATCATGAGGGGCGATTCTGCCATCGTGGCAACAACATTGAAAAACGTTGAAAAAAAAAAGAAAAATGAAAAAAAAGCCAGTCGAAAAGAACCGAGCACATCACGGGAGAAGAAAGCAGGAGAAAACTCGTTTAACAGCAGAAGATTGGAGTCAAAATTTGTATGATTACTGTGTCTTTGATGATTCAAAAAAGATTCTTTCTCGTGTCTCAGTTTCTCTACCCAAGTAAGGTATGGAATTCACATTTATGTCAATCTCATTGTCCTTGAATTTTTGTTCTTTTAGGCTTTCGAACCCTAGATCAAAAGGCTTCGAACCCTAGATCGATTCTTTGCTTTGTTCCGAATTTGATTTCAAATCGTTGCTTTTTATTTTTGTTTTGTAGATTGTGGAAGAAAGGGTTTTGATTCAAGTTTGAAATTTTGGGTGGAGGTAAAGAGTTGGGAGATTCGGATTTTTGATTGCTTTGATCAGCTTCTTTGATGTATGAATGTGAAATTCTGCTGAATTTCAGGGTTTTTCGATTTGAGGTGGGTTATCTTGATCTGGGTTTCAATAAAAATCCATTCTTTTTTTCTGGGGTTTTGGGTTTGCTTAACCTGTTGGGTCAATAAGGTCGATTGAAATTCCTTTTGAACTTGAATCTTACTACTTCTTTGAGAACTGGGGTTACATTATTTTGTTGTCTTCTTTGAATTCTGATACTTCTTCATTCCGAGCTTCTTTGTGCTTTTGATATTGGATCGAGAGAATCTGAAATTTCAATGGCTAATCCTCCACAACCTCCTCTTGGATACTCTAATGCTCTATCTCAGCCAGACATGCCATCACCTAACCCTGAGAAGAGTTCAGTTCTTCCCCCTCCACCTATCTCACATATACCTGCTAGATTTCCTGCACCAAAATTACAGCAAGATCATGTCGTCTCTCCATCTATCCCAACTCCAACTATGCTCTCTCCCGCAAATGGGGTCAAGGCTGGCAGTCCCACACCCCATTTAAGCACTCCTCCTGGTCCTCCTGTGTTAAGCACTCCTCCCGGCCCTCCTGTGTTTACTTCACCTGTGCGGCCAGCTGCTGTGCCTTTCCGTACCTCTCCTGCAACTCCTCAACCGGTAGTTTTCTCATCAAGGTCATCTTTGCCTACATCTTCACCTCCTCATTTCTCAAATGGATCAATTGAATTGGACAATCACGGTTCTCACCCTACAGAGAAAGCTTTGTCTGTTGAGGAATCACCTGTTTTCTTCTCAGCTCATAAGGTACATTTTAATTCTTCTGGATTGGAACTGAGGGCATCTATAATTTTTGATAGATTTTGGCTTTTCCTCTGCCCATTTGCTATTAAAATTTTTGCAACTTTTAATATTTGGGACTATCCCTCACCTATACCATACTATATCTACTTACAAATACACGAGCTTTTCTTTTAATACATTTTAGCAGTGCAGGTACTGAAGGAGAAGAAACAAGCCAATATACATAGTTTAGGATTTGGGGTGTTGGTTTCTCCCGGGAGGGAGATCTCAATGGGTTCTCAGGTAATACAACGTGATCCTCACCGCTGCCATAACTGTGGGGCATATCCAAATCCCTATTGCAATGTGTTAATTGGCTCAGGCCAGTGGCAGTGTGTTTTCTGCTGGAACTTAAATGGAAGTGAAGGTGAATATGCAGCTGCCCTCAAAGAAGATCTCCACAATTTTCTTGAGCTTTCATCACCATGTGTTGATTATGTTCAAACCGGGAATCAGAGACCAAGTTTTGTTCCAGTTTCTGATTCACGAATGTCTGCACCCATTGTCCTTGTTATAGATGAGTGTTTGGATGAACCACACCTCCAGCATTTACAAAGCTCTTTGCACGCATTTGTTGATTCACTTCCTTCAATGACAAGACTTGGAGTTATATTGTATGGGCGCACAGTGTCTGTCTATGATTTTTCAGAGGAATCTATAGCATCTGCTGATGTTCTTCCTGGTGGCATATCACCAACTCCAGAGTCCTTGAAAGCTTTGATTTATGGAACTGGAATATACTTGTCACCTCTGCATGCTTCAAAAGATGTAGCACACCAAATATTCTCTTCTCTTAGGCCTTACAAGTTAAACATTTCAGAAGTTTCAAGAGACCGGTGCTTGGGTGCAGCTGTTGAGGTCGCTCTGGCAATAATTCAAGGACCATCTGCTGAAATGTCTCGAGGTATGATTAAAAGAACAGGAGGTAACAGCAGAATTATTGTCTGTGCTGGAGGGCCAAATACGTATGGCCCTGGATCGGTACCTCATTCTTATAGTCACCCAAATTATCCTCACAAGGAAAAGACAGCACTGAAATGGATGGAGCACCTTGGCCATGAGGCTTACAGGCAGAACACAGTGGTTGACATTCTTTGTGCTGGAACTTGCCCCGTAAGAGTTCCTATTCTGCAACCTCTTGCAAAAGCTTCTGGTGGTGTTTTAGTCCTTCATGATGATTTTGGAGAAGCCTTTGGGGTAAATTTGCAAAGGGCATCTGCCAGGGCTTCTGGTTCTCATGGCTTGTTGGAGATACGTTGTTCTGATGACATTTTTATAACTCAGGTTGTGGGTCCTGGTGAAGAAGCACATATAGATACTCACGAAACCTTTAAAAATGATATTGCTCTCTCGATTCAAATGCTTAGTGTTGAAGAAACGCAGAGCTTCTCAATCTCAATGGAAAATAGAAAAGATATCAAGAGTGATTTTGTATTTTTTCAGTTTGCTATTCATTTTTCAAATGTTTATCAAGCTGATATAGCAAGAGTCCTTACTTTCAGATTGCCAACTGTTAATAGTGTTTCAGCATATCTTGAGAGTGTGCAAGGTGATGTGGCTGCAGTTCTAATTGCCAAGAGGACCCTTTTGAGAGCAAAAAATTATTCTGATGCAACTGATATGAGATCAACCATAGATGAAAGAATTAAAGATATTGCTCTAAAATTTGGGTCTCCAGTGCCAAAATCAAAGCTTCATCGGTTCCCTAGGGAGCTTTCTTCTCTATCAGAGCTACTATTCCATCTTAGGAGGGGCCCGCTTTTGGGAAACGTTGTTGGCCATGAAGATGAGAGGTCTGTGTTGCGGAACTTGTTCTTGAATGCATCCTATGACCTGTCACTTCGTATGGTTGCTCCTCGTTGTCTAATGCACCAGGAAGGGGGGATGTTTGAGGAACTACCAGCTTATGACCTTGCCATGCAGTCTGATAGAGCGGTTGTTCTGGACCATGGGACGGATATTTTCATTTGGTTGGTATGTTGGTCTTAGCCCCTTTATAGTTGATTTGACATGTTCTCTTTTATTTCATAATATTGTGGATCTATTGTTCTATATTTGTTTCATTTGCTTTAGATTGTGCTTTCTGTATGTATACATCTATGTATTGCGATGTGGGCAAGTTTCCGTGCTTTTGGGATTACCATTCACTATGTTTGAGATGATCTGAGAATACCCAAAAGTTAGAAGGCAGACAGTTTGCAGGAGTATGTTGTTGTACATTCCTGAACCTGACCAAAAAAAAAAAAAAAAAATTGAGAATTAACCTGCTGATTAAAAAAAAAAAAAAAATAAAGATTGAGAATTAACCTTCGTACTATTGTCTTGAAATCAAATATGTAAGATAGGCAGATCTTATGTCACTGGGAGAACAGGGCAAGGAAGTACGTTCAAATCCTTGCTGAGAAACTTTTATTTTATGTTCTTCTATTGCCAATAGTAAAAAGGGAGGGAGGAAAATCACGCATTTATTCATTAACATCCTGGATCTCTTTTCTTCATCTGAAGTTATATTATTAGAAACTTCTGGATTTCAACTCCTTTGTATCTTTGCTGTGAAATGTATATTGAACATATTCCTGTTAATTGGTGTTGCAGGGTGCTGAACTTGCTGCTGATGAAGTAAGAAGTGCATCAGCTCTAGCAGCTTGTAGAACATTGGCTGAAGAGCTCTCTGAATTACGGTTTCCAGCTCCTCGAATCCTTGCGTTCAAGGTTTTTCTTCTCCCTTTATATGCATTTCCCCCTATCCCTTTTTTCCCCTTCTCTCTTTTTCTCTCTTTCTTTCTTTCTTTCCATTTAGCTTCTGCAGTTTGATTGTTTGAATCTATTACAGGAGGGGAGTTCACAGGCCCGATACTTTAATTCTCGATTGATTCCAGCACACAAGGATCCTCCTTACGAGCAGGTGAGACAGAAAGTAGTAAGAAAGCCTTCAATTCTATTAACGTAAAAAGATCCATTGTTTGTCTCTACATGCAAATCCGGTTGCAAATCAAGTCCCTTATAAGCTTAGGAAATCATTACTAAATTGTTGAGTGATTCTAATGATATATAAGACCACTGCAGGAGGCAAGATTCCCACAGCTCAAGTCCTTGACAACAGAACAACGGACAAAACTGAAAAGCAGCTTTCTTCACTTCGATGATCCTAGCTTCTGTGAATGGATTCGAAGCTTGAAAGTAGTGCCACCAGAACCAACCTAAGAATGATGATGCTGTTATTTGCAGCTGTTGTGAACTTCCTCCTGAAGGGAGTCCTGGGAATTGCATTCCATGCAACCATCATCTGTTGGAAGCTGTCTCCTCCCTTTCCTTTCCCCCTCTTCCCCCCAAGCTGTAACTCAAATTTTTCCATTTTTCCTTGATTTTTCCCCAATATTTCCCTCTCTTAGGTTTTAGTTCTCAAAGAAATATTTATACTCGACAGTTACCCAAAGCTTGACATTTTTTTGGTTCAATTCTGATGCAGTCCCAGTGTATTTCCAGGATTAGTAGTGTTTTGGATGGGACAGAAATAAGCACGCCTCTTCCATTTTCTATATTTTATGTCAATTTGTCCCAGCTAGCAATGTTTTCTTTTTTAGCAATCAACACTCGAGTTGAAAACTGCCTTACACCCATATGGTCGTCGTGACCACGCTTCTCATTGAGAAGCAAACGAGGGCATGTTTGGTGATCTTCAAATTGAGTCCAGGCTCAACATTTTCTCATCCCTTTTGTGTAGATATTAATACTATTAATATAATTTTTACTTAAAAAAAGAAAAAAACACTCGAATTGAAAACTTTTAAGTTTTGTACTTAATGAAATTAGTACGAAATTATTAGATTTATTTGCAGCACCAATTATATAAAATATTACTTATATGACACAGGATCATATTATAAAAAAGATTGTCAAAAAAAAGGTTTTTAAAGAGAGCTCTGCTAGTGCTTTCTCTATGATATTTACAGAACCAGGATAAGATTATAGAAGATCTTTTAAGTTTGAATGTTGTATGTAAAAATATTAGAAGGAATGGAAAAAGGAAAATTTTGTAATTAATGAAACATGAAGTATTTTTATTTTGGAAATTTTAATTTATAGTTTAAATTGTATTTAATTATAAAATATAAATCATTAAATAAAAAAGAGGATCCCTAATTTTAAAGAATTTACTTTTATTCAATAGTTAGTGTAGTACACTTTTTTTTTTTTAACCCAAGATGCAGGGATTATATTGTTTTTTTTTTAAGTTCTGGGATGAATATGAAATTCGGGCCAAAGTTCAGATCCACCTCGAAATATTCTTTCCTCTTTTTTTTTGGTAAAATATTCTTTCCGTTTTACGGTTTTATGCAGATCCAAAATTGGTTAAATGCTAAATTTGGTCTCTCAACTTTAGTGAGTTGCACATTTTTTGTCTCTCAACAATTTTTTATACTTTTTTATCCTTAAACTTTAAGAAATGCACTCCGTTGATCCTTGTGTTAATTTCGATCGTTAACTCGCTCATGTGGCATTTTTTTTTTGATAACGTGGCAAAAACAAATTGAAAACGTGTTGATGTGGATTTTTTTTCATGCCAACTCACATGATTACTATTTATATTTAAAAAAAATAAAAAAATTCTGTCTTCTTCCTTTCTCTTCTTTCTTCCTCTTCTTCCTCGGACCAGGCCATTGAACCCAGGTCTGCTAGGTTCGACGGAACCCAAAACCCAGCTCCACTTTTTTTTTTTTTATATGATTGTTTATCAAGAGATTATCCAAATTGCAGGTTATTGTGAGATATTTTTGGGCAACTGGTTTTTCTTTTTTGTTATATGATTGTTTGCCAAGAGATTATTCAAATTGCGGGTTGTTGCGAGGGATTTTTGGGCAATTGTAGGTTGTTGTGAGGGATTTTTGGGCAATTGAGTTCAATGAATCGAGCTAGGTTCGATGGAACCTATTTGCTAGATTACATCGAACCTAGATCTACTAGGTTCTGTCGAATTTCAATTTTGAAAATGGAAAGAACACCATTTATGGAAAGAAGAAAAACAGTAACCGATGGGCAAAGAAGCAATTGTTAGTGGTGATGTAGGACCCATTTGGATGGATTTGGCGCGATTTCGTCAAGGTAGTATATGACATGGCAGAAGTTTTATGCATATTATCATTTTTTTAAGTTTTGCTCTTCACATTATCAAAAAAAATATAAAAAATGCCACCTAAGCAGGGTTAATGGCCCAAATTAACAGAAGGATTAATGGAGTGCATTTTGTATAGTTGAGGGATCCAAAAAGTGCAAAAAATTGTTGAGGGATCAAAAAAGTGCATTTCATAAAGTTAAGGGACCAAATTAAGCATTTAACCTCCAAAATTCCATGGTGGCGTCGATTTTACGGCGGGTCCCACACCGAATTTAATTCCTATTTGTTAATAACTAAGGTTTCCACTTTCACCAAAAAAAAAAAACTAAGGTTTCCACTCTAATAAATATTATAATTATAATATTATTTAATATTATAAATTTATAATATATTATGCCTGTTGTATT